CGATGACACGCAGATTGAGAACTTCAATTTCTACTATGCGCGCGAGTACCAGGCTAGGATCTACAACGATTTCATCTCTCTTCGCGACCCGCGGAACAACATGGTCAAGCTAGCGATCTCTCATGCTCTGGCCCAATCGGTCAAGACTTCGCTTTTCGAAGATCTTGTGTCAGAAACAATCACCGACACTGCACCGCTACCTGCCCAGATTGCGCAAACTGGTAGCGTCAATCTCACCCGTCGGCAAATCAACATGCAGATTGGAGAGCTCTTCATTCTGCGCATCAATATTCACTTGCAAGGATCTGTCCTCGATAGCCCGGAACTTTTCTGGGCAGAGCCGCAGTTGGAACCTGTCTACCAGGCAGTCCGAAGCTACCTGGAGATGGATCAGCGTGTCAGTCTTCTGACCGAACGGTTGGATGTTATTGCCGATCTTCTTGCAGTCCTAAAGGATCAATTGACACATCGCCATGGCGAGTATCTCGAATGGATTGGTAAGTCTCCCTGCAGCTATGATTTCTAACAACGACCCATCTAACAAATATCAGTCATTGTCTTGATCGCCGCAGAGATTCTCGTGGCTGGAATCAACATCGTCGTCGATCTCTACGCTGGAGTAGACTAGAGTGACTCATCAACCATCTACGCCCATCTCGACCAATCAATTGTGCTGCGAATACTAGTTTTAATGCTATGTATTACCGGCATATTACTTATGTGCCTTGGCATACCATCCACTCGCGATTCTACATCGACAATCGCACAAGGAACGCAGTATGCTAAAGGCAAACACCCGACAGAACTCGCCCGGCATAGGATTCGAACTCACCCACCGTGTCTAATTTTCCTATACTATCCTCAACCCCTGCTACCTGTATCATCTTTCCAGACTTGTTGTGTCTTCACCTGTACATGACAGAAGACATTCATACCCAGATAATAATATCCCATTCTTGTTTCCAATAATGTGTTGTCTTTTTTTTCCCGTTGGTATTGGAGTTGACGTGGGTGTTTTCCCGTGGAACACGGAAAAACGGCGTTGGAAATCTGTACAGATGCTGTCAATCAAATCAAAATGCTATTGGCCTTTGCCAAATTACTCTGCAATATCTTTCTTTCAAATGGAACCAAGTATTCGTAGTCCGTACATTTTATCAACCGCAGATACCACTAGTACTAGCACTATTGAGACATCCCAAATACCAAACAGCGACGCTGAGCTGTACTCTCCTATAGATCCTCCTGAACATATAGAAATGCACCCATCCCATTTTCATTAGCATTCTCTCTCTTCCCTTTGCTCTGTCTCAACTCACTGCATCAACTAACAACTATAACAGAGTCTAGATGAGAGAGGCATCGAAAAACTACTAGGGAGGAGCCAGTTGCTTCAACCATGCTTTCAGCGTGAGATTTCTCAGACGAAATTCATATCAGACATAGACGCCAGGAGACCGTAGAATCAAGGCCCACCAAAAGCAAAATAAACAAAAACCTAGAAAATAGACCAGCACCGCATCCGAACCCGATGCATAAAAAAACCCACAAATAAAAGAAAACAAACAGAACAGTAGAGAGTCTCCGTCACGACTCTGCAAAGCCCAAAAAGTAAAGAAAAGAAACACAACACAACCCATCCTAAGTTTGCTCAACCTTAGCCTCCTTAGCCTCCTCCTTATCCACATCCATCGGCGTAGTCCCAGACTCAGGACCAGCCTCAGCAGCAGCAGGAGTCTGATCAGCAGAGCCACCACTACCCGTCTGCACACGGAAGGAATGGGTAAGAGACTCCTGTGTCGGAGCCGGCGCGAGACGGGGCAGGGCCGCACCAGCCGGGTCTGCAGAGTCGGGGTGTCCATCTTGAGCGGGAAGATCATCGTCCTGGCCATCCACGCCGGGGGCGTTGGACTTGCGGGAACGCTTAACGCGTAGCGGACGTTCCTCGGGCTATACAATATAAAAAACAAAACACGTTAACTTGCATCCAGCAGACAAACGGACCATTCGATGGAGAAGGGTATATAGTAAAGTTGAACCGGTCTGGAAAAGATGGTGAAGGTGAATTGTACGATACGTACTGTGCGCGGCTGCTCATCGGAGCTACCCTCAGTATCATCTTCTAGAAGTACACCAGAACCACCCTGAGCGGGATTCATCATGGCGGCGGCGCGGGCACGCAGTTCCGGGTTTGCGGCGCCGGTCTTTGCCTCGTCGGCCATGCCGGTGACTTTTGTTAGACGCTCGAGAAGCATGCAGGTTTCCAGGCGCATTTTCTGGATGTATTGGGAGCCGCGACGGTTGCGGGTGCGCATGATTTCATTTTCGGCTTCGACTTCTGCGAGGCGCTTCTTTAGTGCTATACACTTGCGTTTGTAGGCGATCTCCACGCTGGGGGGATTGGCTGGTGGGATGGAGGGGGGTTGGCGGGAGGCTTCCATTTTGGTGAAGAGGGAGGTCTGTATTTTTGTGTTAATTGGCGATGACCGGACTGGATTGTGGACACGGCCGTATTTGGTTTGGGATCCTTGGTAGGAGCTGACACAAAGCACGATGCGAAGGGGGTGATGAAATATAGAGAGGAAGAAGAAGAAGAAGGAGTAAAGGATTGGATGGCAGGCGGTAGGATATAGTATATCTAGCTTTGATTAGTCGCGCGTTAGGCGTTGGTAACGAGGGTGAGTCGATTGACTGAATGGTGACCCTACTGAGAAGTACCAAACGTCGTCGGCAACAATGCGATGATCTCCAACATTATTCTGCCCCGATATTAAAGGCGGTCTACACAATACTGTTTAGCAAATATTTATCCATTTAACTCCTATAGCTATATACAATTGCTCTAAAACCACCCCCTGTGGACCCCCTAATAATCATGACTATCTAATGACCTCCAGTGGTGGGAAGACCAAGGAACACCTTGAAAGAGTCATAACTGAAGAACGTTAGCGTCGCTGTACTACACGCAAATCAGGATGGAACGAAAACTTACATGAGCCATTGGAAACCGGTCAAGGTGCCCAGCATCACAATACGAACAGGCAGACCATTCCATAGGCCAGAGAAGCCAATGTTCCCGTAGATCCGGGACACAGCCGTCACCGCACCTTCACCGGCTACAAACGGGCGGTTAGTATGCATCAAGAACTGCAGCCGAAAGAAGGAAAAATCTCACCTTTACGATCAGCATTCAATTTGCTGACCATGACATCTGCCGGATGGCTAACAATAGCACAGAAGATTCCAGCAATGTAACCACCCAAGAAGCTAACACCAGTCTGTGCCAATTGGCCATACTCCTCCTTGGGTTTGCCCATGGTGCGGTAGATGATCTTGACCGTCTCCTCAAAGGTGGCAAACTTGGTCATGGTATAAGGGATCTGTCTGGCCCACAGAGGGTACAATCCCTTGTACAAACCACCAAAGCCCTCCTTAGCGACGATCTTGCCCCAGCCCTCGCGCATAGTGGAAGCGTATGGTGGCAACGTCGTTTGCATGCGGACTTTGATAGCTTCCATGGGACACAGGGCCATATCAGCAAAGAACTCAGCAGAGGCACTAGCACCGAGGAAGACCAGGGTGCGGTTGGACTCCGGGAACAGCTGGTTTCCGTACAAGTACTTGAAGTACTCGTACAGACCGTACTTTCCGGCACCCTGGAAAGAGTAGCCCAGGAAGGTGGGGGACCAGCCGAAGAAGACGCCGCGCAGGCCTTCTTTGGAGAAAATTGTCCGCCATGCTTGTACGTTAGAGGTGTAGATCTTTGGGTCAACCTGGCGACGGCATTTCACGAGATCGAGGGGTGTTACGGCTGTATGGGTTGGTCCTGTGTGGAATTGGGTGTCAATTGAGAGTGTCAGCTGTACATTGGAGAATTTCACTTACCACAAGCTGGATAATATTGTTAGCGCGTGCCTTGTGAGATGGGGAGCTTGGACATACCGATGATTCCACCGAAGCCGCAGCTGAGGAAGTACTTGAGTGAGTTAGGCTCGATCTTCCCAAGGGGAAGCTTGCGTTCTTGTGTAGCCATGGTGTATGTATCTGTAAATATTTGCAAGAGGGGAGAGTTGCAAGATCAATAAAAGCACAGTACCAAGTTCCAAGATTGTACCTTGGAAGAGCCTAGGCTACCTATGTCGTCAGTGGCCGGGCTAGGCTTATCTCTCCGCACTTCCCGAACCTTTGGACGGCCCAACATACTATATTCGGATACTCTACACTCTACACTCTACACTCTACACTATTTTTTGATTTAAAATTCTTTACTTTTACTATTCATTGACTCTAGATATTTTGTATTGCAAATCACTCAATATTCAGAATATTCCCTGTGATCCCATATGACGTCAATGATACTCGGCCAGCCCGGTAAGTATACAGTATACCAAAGCCGACTTAGCCGGACTTCCTGCATAATTACCTATGTACCTATGTAGTACATAGAGTGCTTTAATGCAATCAAGCTTCTCAATGAAATTATGAATCCTTATCAAAACTTACAGCTGAGAACGGTTAGCGCCTGGCTGCCTCAGTATGTCCAACTGGGCAAGGGGAATGTCAGGTCAAGGGAAGAGTGAGATGAAGCTAGTTCTCAAGGAAATAGAAACAAGAATCGAAACTTACGCTCCTTTTCTTTCTAAAAGACATGTCACACCCAGAGATAGATAGTCTTTTTGCAATGTTTAGTTTACTTGCAAGAAAGAGGGAAGAAAAAGTGAGAAGAGAAGCGAAAGGAAAGGAACGAAAAGGCAAAGGTACATTCGAACATTGTCGGATTGTCTTCACAAAGAACCAGGCTCAATGGGAGTGGGCATGTGCTAATTGCACCTTTGTAGGAGGGGGGCACAAATGTTCTTTTCGTACGTCTTCCTCTCTACTAGAATTATACGATAAAACTAACGTACGGACAGGTCCTAATCTGTTTCCGAATATGCCTTCATGGGTTACCACGGCTGTGACTGAACGTCAGCCTTCCAGTCCATTGCTTCACGCATACTATGGCGCAAAAAGGTACATCTACCGCCCGGAAGTCTGCAAAGCTGGCTACCAGTCGGAAGCGTCCTGGGGCTGTAGATCAGTCGATCGCTGTCTCAAAAGGGACTCCCGCTACCCCGGAAGATGTAGACGAAGAGCAACCCGCTAAACGCCGCAAGTCCGAGGGTGGCCCTACGAAGACCAGAGAGTGCGCCACTAAGGATGCACCTCCTAAGCTCAAGAACGGAGGGCTCCCGTTCAACGCGACCTGGTACAACTCGCCCCTTGAACACCCAAAGGTGTACGGTATGAAGGATAAAGCTTATGTACTTGATACCTACCGTGACCTTGCAGACATCATCGCGCGTGTCACCGAGGATCACGGTCGTATGAAGGCATCATTGATCAAGAAAGGATTCCTGCCTGAATCGGATGACGAGCAGTCCGAAGAGGAGAACGTGTTTCCTGTGGAGTGAACATAATCGGGAGTTCTAGTGCCTTTTTATTGATTCTGAGATATCCACTTGACTGATCGGAAGTCTACCTAGCCGTATTGTAAATGGTCTGGGTGCTGCTCTAGCGCCATTATGCCTTTGTCTATAATAGTCTTACATGATTGAAACTGTCCAAAAACGCCTTTTTTTCTTTTACCCATAAGTCATGCCAGTAGCCCATTGAGCAACTTATCAACGCCAAGTGAAATTGGCACACCTCTCACAGCGTAGCCCTCTGATCCCGCGCAACGGGCACTCCAAAGCCCACACATCAAGTTTGGTTACCAAAATTGCACGAGACCCGTGGTAAGTTTCGACAAAGAGTTTGGCCTTGCGTATCATCCTGCTCTCTGCTCTGCCTCACTGGAAAGCAATAAGGCTAATTTAATGCCCAGCGTAGACCCCACACGCGACAGCACAGTACGGATCAGATCTGCCTGCGCCGGAGTTGGCATACCGGAGGAGAGAATATACCAGAGGGGCCAGAGTAATCCACCAGCCTGCGCAGCGCGCATTTGCCGCGGGCCATCTGATTTATTCGGGCGACCGAGGGAATCGACGTCAGCCAGCGCGAAGGGGAGGCTGCGACAGACGTCTGTGGTCATTTCGCGGATGGTGGCTTTCAGAACTGGCTCGTCGAAAGCGGTCTCGGACTCTGGTTCAGAACTGCTAGTATCTCGGAGACTGGAGAATTGCTTGTTGGCCGCTTTTATGGAGGTAAGGGTAGCATTTAGATTGAGGAGAAGTTGCTGCAGCATCACGCGCACTGCGCGGTAGTAATTCCAGACCACGGCGTTGGTGATGCGGTTGTAAGTTAGGAGGGTCTCACCCTGTGCTGAGTAGACTTCTAGTGGAAGCCAGCGCTCTGGAAGGGTCTCTGTCCACTGGGAGAGTTCGATGTCGTACTCGCGGCCGGCTGTGATCCATGATTCGACGGTAGCTTGGTCTGGGGGTTTTGGTGAGGTACCCATAGATAGGAATAATTGGCAGAGCTTTGATGCGGTGAGCATGAGGCGGTCGGTTGGTTTATTGATGTCTAGCATGCCGAGGATCCAATCGATGCCGAAGCGGGGCTTGTATCCAAGTGCGAGGATTTCAATATACTATACAATGGTCAGTCTCGGGCCGATATCAGAACCTTACGGCAAACCTACCGTGTGAGCATAAGCAAAATTAAGCATATCTCGACCATGCGGATGATCAACCAGCGTACTTCCACGAAGCTTCGTCAAGAACTGAAAACCAGCCGTATGCCAGCTGAATAGCCCGTTCCGCTCACCCGAGATATCCTCATACAGCGAAAGCAAAACGACCGAAGCAAACGTCTCATCTTTAACCGCATTAATCGGCGACGACAATGCCTCCTGCAAACCTCGCAAGGCCCGGCCATAGCCCTGCCGCGCCTTGTTCATGAGAGGTGGCGCATTCTTAGCATTAGCGAGAGTCATCAGCGCCGTAGCCTCGACAGCCCAGCGCAAACAGGAAGACGGTGATTCGCCGCTCTGGCGACCGAGGTCGCGCGCGTACAGCCCGGGCACATATTCGAGATGTCCGCCATCCTCGGCATCTGCTTTTATGGTATACTGGTCAAAGAAGTAGCACAGTGCTCGTTGTTCCCAACTAGAGTCAGTGGGTGAGTATAGCGTCAGAGCAGCCTTGTCATGGTGTTTCGCATGTGAGCCTGCGCGTCGGCGGTGCGAGACGGCTGATAGAGATGAGTCCGAGGCCGAGGAGCTGTCTTGGCTGTCGGTATTGCTGTAGGCATTTATGCCGGCACTGCTTTTCACCAGTCGCTCGACTTTCCTGGTCTCGTTGCGGAAGACAGCATCCGGCCGGTATCCTGGACATGGTCGGCCATAGATAGTGCAGTTCCGGCACTCTGGGTGTGCTTCATCGCACTTGAAGGGAGGATATTTAGCATTTGGCCTTTTAACGAATGCAAATAAAACTACATATTATAGACATAATACAGGTCCATTGGCGGGGTAAATCGAAAAACCAAGATTGAAGCTCGGGACATACCTTTATCTTCCGCTTGCGACACAGGTAACATCCGGTACTTGGTTTTCCCCCATAGACCATTGTTCACCCGTGAGCAGTCGTCCGAGGAACCTACCTCTAGGACTTGCGGGTACTTCGATGGAAACCACAAAAGGGGTTGCGAGTTACAGAGAGGTCGGACTCGATCTGGGTTCCACAAAGGTCAAGTACGACCGTGTGTCATCGGTTGTAACTGGATCAACTCGACTGCCTAGTCCAAACGAAGCACATGCACATCTTAAAGGATGTGCGAATGGATTTTCTAGAGCAAGGATCCTCGTGTATTTCAGCGACCAATGTTCGCGTTAAAGCCTTTCGCGAGAAAGTTTGCCTACAAACTGAAAGACGTCAGATTCCGTTCGGGACATTCCGCAAATCGAGTAACCCGCTTAGTCATTCAACAGTAGCCCGACCTCGGGAGGCTAAAACCGACGAGTTGGACAATTGGGAATGTAAATGATATAGATTTCATCAAACTGGATGGTATATAAATCACACTCCAAGTGTTCCCAAAAAAGGTATCATGTACTCAACCACAAAACACTCCGAAATGGCCGATATGAAATAAAAACAAGGTAAAAAAAAAGATCTCACAACTCCAGTATGGCAACTTCAAGTCTGGATAGGACCCCCAAGACACAGTAACCAAACAGATTTGCAACACCAAATATGCAACCGCTTGGTGCTCTAGAAACACCTAGGGAGGAACGCCGGCAGCTCATTCTGAAGGCAAAGCACCCACTGTTGACAAAAACAAACCGCGCTCAAAAGGATGGGGAGATAAATATGACAAGAATAAATGGATATGCGTAATCGTTAGATGGCAGGATATCAAAACACGTTTGGCTCAGTTCAGACCAGTAAATGCTAAGAGATTAGGAGGAGGGCGCGTCTGGCATAAGTGCATCACTATCCGTGCCTAATGGGATCTGTGGCGGGGGACCGGAGCAGAGGGTTCGACGTCGAGTTGGAACGGCCAGCTCGCGGTCATCAACAGAACTTATGCCTGGAGTGCTCAAAGCACTCCCAATGGCTGTATCATCGTAGTCTTCTGGTGGTGGAGAGAAAGACCAGACCTGCGATATATATTAGAAAACATTTTTTTCTATCAAGCGGAACATGGCACGTACCTCCATAACCGTACGGTTAGACCGGCTCGCCATAATTACTGCTTTTTCATCCTCAAAAGCAACCCGCCAAACCGCCTCGGCCGGAGTAGAAAGCTCCCGCAACAGCTGCCCAGTCTGTAGGTTCCAAACCTTGACACGTCCATCGCTGCCACCACTAACAATGCGGGTCTTATCAAACTGAAGACTAGTGACGCTGTTATCGTGCGCCGCAAGACGGTGAATTGGCGCCATCTTGGTTAATGACCAAACACGGACAGAGCCATCGGAGCCACCTGTGACTAGCGTGTCGTCCCGCATCTGTAGCTGACCAACCAAAGATGTATGACCTTGTAAAATTGCATGGCACTGCCCAGAATGCGGGTCCCAAATCCGGACGCTAGTATCCAAACTTCCCGTCGCGATCCGCCGGCCATCAAAGGCAATAGCGTAGATCTGACTGAAATGTCCCGAAAGGGTGCGAAGACAGCGTCCTTGGGATATGCTCCATATCCGCGCAGTCGTATCATAGCTGCCCGACACGACTAGATCACCATGAATGGCTAGACACCGCACGCTGGCTTGGTGTCCGACGAGGACGTTGCGACATGTCCCTGTAGCCAGATCCCATATCCGAAGAGTGGTGTCTCTAGATCCTGAGATGGCTGTATTCCGATCCGACATCTTCAGACAACGGACGGTAGATGTGTGGCCCCGAAGGAGATGGATCCCCGCCCTACCATACGTTAGTTTTCGTTCGTGCAAGTCGTGGGGGTTCTGCCCTACCCAGTAGCCATATTCCATACTCGAACTTCGCGATCGCAGCCTCCGCTGACCAAAATGTCATCCCACGGGACCATCGCCCATACTCCCATCACATGGCCTTGAAGCGTCTTTTGGTTGTCGCCGTTGGTATCGTAAACGTGGATCTTCGCATTATCCAGTGCAACGACAATGTATTTCGGAGTGAGGTGAAGACTTGTCACCACACCTTGGTCAGGGGTGATATGGCGCTGGGTGCAGCGACCACCTTTGGTCCACGCAGACTCAACCATGTATTTTTGCTTGAACTGCGAACGGTAGGAGACGGGCCGGCTCCGACGTCTTCGGGAGAAGCTTGTCGGAGGCAACCATTCTCCAGAAAGCGTGCGGGGAAGGCCCGGTGCGCTCTCGGTGGCGTGGCCATTTGACGCGGTCAAGCGCCGCTGCAACCCGCTGAAGGTGCGTGCGCCAGAAGCCGAGTCTACCGGGTGGGCGGTGAAAGGGTCGACGAGGTCCCCTTCATCTTCCAGCACCCGCCGCACCGAGTATGCATGTTTCTCGCATAGATTTTTCCAAGTGATGTCATCATTTAGTAGTTCTCGCCAACGCCGTGAGACTTGTGAAGCTCGGGCGAGTGTCTTGGGGTCGTCGATGAAGGAGAGAACCTAAGCAGACTCAAAATTAGTACAGAAGTAGATAGAGACTCGACCAAACAGCTTACTCTTAAGCATAGCTCATTAGGAAAGACCTGGAATGGGTCTTTCCTCAATCGAGGACCGACGTAACTCGACACAAAGCTCAGCTGCTGGCTGTCGCATACGTCCAGCAGACCCTCCAGGAGTTTCTGTTTTCGGGCGTTGGATAGACTACTGAAGTGAATGCGAAGGTTTAACAAAAAGCTGGTTTCTTCGTCGTCGGTCGAGTGCCAAGTTGGTGGTCGTTGATGGGGGGTAGGGCTGGGTGCGGGTGTCGGGGGTGATGCAGGTGCTGAAGGAAGTAGGTTGGCGGGTAAAGGAGTGACGGTTGTCTTATTGCTGAGTGATCTGGATGGGGTGCTGACAAAAGTGGTGACTGGGTCGTGCGATGGTTGGTTATGACTATCTAACTGGTCTGATGTGTGCGCATTCGAACCATCTCCCACGTCGCTGAATGATGCCCGATGGGAGTCCATGGCGACAGAACAGGGGGTGGGGGGAGACCGCCACAGTCAAGTATGATCCTCCCACTTGTCCGGTTTGTATTTATTGGTGTGACGCACAGAAACTCCAATAGTTCACGGCCAGCATATAGTTATAAGCGAGTCGGGAGACGGGAGTATTGAAGTTCGGGGGTATGAGGAGAGGCTGGCGAACGGCCGAGGGAAGAAGAGAGAGGTGAGACCAATAATCCTCCGAAGGTATCTAGGCCGCCCTTTTTTTTCTTTTTTTTTTTCGAATATATCACTTTTTTTTCTGATTCTTTTCATTCAAAATCAGAGTTCGAAATCAACTTCCAATGAAAAAAAGGCGATGAGGAAAAGGGACATTTGAAGCGGAGGTGTCGTGATTCCTGACAAAGCATGGTCTCCCCGGGACTAATCAGATGGAGAATTATATGGATCTTATGCATCCGGCACAGATCATCTCTTTTTCTCTACATCTTTTTTTGCCTTCTGATTTGCCTGGTATTTCCTTTTGGGGGTTCATGGCAAAGGAGGCAACGGGGAGGCGTCGAGAACGTAAACCTAAAGGTGGTTTGGTCCAGGACCAGGTCATTGATCTCTAGAGCTGAATATCGTGGACTGTAAAAGGCAACCTGGTATTCACGATGCTCACGATGCTCACGATGCTCACGATGCTCACGATACTCACGATACTCACGACAACATAGACCCAAGGCTTTGGATTGGCATGCGGCTATCGGAGTTGGACCATGGAACTTGTGAACAACGGAATGATTCAGACTGACGAAACTGACGAAACTTGTCATCACCGACATTCTGAAAAGATAAACTACCCCCTGGGGGAGTCAAACATCGGGGGGCCTGTCAGGCTTTAAATAGGGCACACTTTAAACAGGGCACAGTGACGCTACGTCGATGTGATCGTGAGATAGTGAAATACCATGCAATTATGACCAATATAACACCCAACAGTTATACAAGGAAATCTATTCAAACATATTCTCCCTTTCTCAATTTATCTCAGCTACAGCAACCCATCTCCAAACCATATCTTCCTATGGGTATAAAGCCCTCCAAAATCTAGTTGAAAAGCCAAAATGCAACAGCACTATGGCGTAACCCTGAGGAATACACGACGGTACTTGGTTAGTGAGCATGTCCAATCTGCAAGAATAACGGCAAGACCATGCCCAAAACAGATGCAATCAAGTCTCTCATGGACTTGTCCGATCCATTCTGGTCTCGGTCACCATATCCGTTGATAGGAAGTTCGCGCGGGGACGAGCCGGGGCCGTTTTCTTGCATGGTGTGCATCGCAACATACCTACATAGATTAATAAAATGTCAATATACTCCGCGAAAGAAGACTCACAAAAAGGTACCACCGGAGAAAAGCAGTAGCATTCCAGTGCGCCAGTGAGTGCCTGCCTCATCGGCGCTGGAAGATCCCATCATCTGTACAAAGAGGAAAGTGGCCAAGGCACCGAAAGGAGCCGCGAGACTGAAGACTAGCAAATGCGCTCTCGCGGTGCGACTTGACAGCCCTTGCTTGAGCAGGATGGATGTCAATCCGAAAGATGCAGGAGCCTTGTGCACCATGATCGCCAAGAAGATAATAAAACTGAGCCCGGCATCCGAGCTAGAAGCACCTAAAGCAATACCATCGGCCGCGGCATGGATCACGAGGCCGGTCGTGGTCGCAAAACTGTGGCCACGCCTGGACGCGTGGTTCGCATCAAGGAGTCCACCATCACGCGATGGGGAGGAACCCCGCCGCAACCCGGACCCAAGGTTATCCAAAGAGATATGGTAAGGTGTCCGATCATTCTTAGTGGGAGCAGCAAATTCGGGCAGTTTATCGACGAGATACATCAAAATGAAACCACTGACGAGGGCGATTCCGACCCACGCATGCGGCGAACTCTCCTCCTCTCCATGAGTTGTTTCCTTGCCCGTTGTTTCACCTGCCGAATCCTCGCTTCGAACATAAAGTGTTTGCGACTTAAAGGGTTGGTCTCTTTCCGAGAGAAGACCCGGGACAGGGGCATCGGATGGTAGGTTTGAGACGCTGTCTCCGTTGGGGCCAAAAGTGGCTGCGACGGCCGGGGTTTGATGTTGCCATTCGATAGCGGTCGCCCGTGTATTGTGTTGCTTGCGAGTGAGGGAGTTTGCGCTGTAGAGGGTTTCAATGCCCTCGGGGATAATGACGATCAACGATGTCCCCACTAGAACGCCCATACCAATGGACGATATTAAGCGGAGCTGAGAGGGGGACAGTGTAAAAGCTAAAGGTAATGAGCCGACGACAAAGGATCTGCCAATAATTCGGAGCATTAGCTTGAATCCAATTGAACCTTGGGTTTCTAAACACAGGTAGCTCACGTAATTGCCATCACAATGCTCAGGGCGAGCAGAGTGAAAAGTCCCTCCATGATGATCTCGCAGTTCACTCTATAGACTTTCTATCATGGTGAGGGGAATTGGAGAGAGGGTCCAGAGGGAGTCTGAAGATGGTTGCGTAAGAGGCCAAGGTGGTGGAAGGATCCAGGTCGGGGGACCCACGTAGCTCAGGTACCGCTTTCAAACATGCTAGGGTGAAGTATGCAGGACAACATATGGACATTTAAAAGGCATTCTATTTGATAAGGCCCTTGAAAGGTATATGCATATAGGGCTTAAGGCTGATTCTAGAACGTGTTATCAAACATTTATGTCCGTTCCCTACCTATCTGGCCATACCGGACTATACAGGGCCGAATGCAACCATCCTTGGTTGAATCGATATTTTTTGTATTTGTTCCTATTCTCCTATTATTTTGTCTCTATACTATTACTCTACTTTACTTTATGCCTATAGTCATGAAATATCGAGTTATATCTTTAACATTATGAACTGTTGAAGCCACGCAAGCCACCGTCGGCCTCGTTTGCACATTGATACTCCATGCTGACGCAAAGAACACAGCAGTCGCCCATGCTCCACTAGAAGATGCAAAGATCACAGATCACAGATCAAAGGTTGATCCACCCCGTGGTGCTCATAGCATCCCGATTTCCGAGCCACGACTACTGTGCGCGCCCTTTGGCAGTTGAAAGCCCAAGTACGGCAAGTATCTTGCCGGGTGCCAGTAGACAAAAAGGGCAACACAGGGATAGATACACAGGGCGTCAAAGACATATAAGGGCCACTCATGTGTGCTCAAATATCCCTTTGTGCCTTCGGTGAATTCCACAAGTCGATACATAGACCGAACCTGGTACAAGTCAACGAGTGAACAACGAGTAAACAGCGACTGAAGGTGAAGAACTGACAAGGATCAATATCGTAGTGAGATTAACAATTCGCTGCAGAGTAGGCCAGTTCTTGTCCTTGACAATGCCACCAATAGTGTACTCCTTCTCTCCAACATTCTCATATCTCTCACTCAGAGACCCAGTGAAGCGCTTGGAAGTGAAGTTGAAACGGACAGCTGCGACTGCAAACATGCCAAGGCAACAAGCTGGATGATAACACCTATTTGGGCAACATGTTTTCCCGTGTTGAGCTTGTTTCTCGCATCCTTATCTGTGGCATCGACTGCAGAGATCATCACCGCACCGCCAAGCTGGAGGAGCAGAGCAATGATATCACACCCGACGAAGATCGGTGTAATGAATCGGGGAGGTACCCAGCATAGTCGAAGTGTGCGTGCCTCTTGGGGGACAATAAGGAATAAAATACGACCGAAGATGATGTAGCAACACGCTGCCATGAGGACTGGTGCAAGGATGACGAGGGAAAATTGAAGCACGTAAACGGGTCTCTCCAATGTGTTTTGGACCGAGACGCATCGGCCAATGTAGCCAACTGCTTCCACTGAGCTGTGGGTTAGCTTGAGTGAATGACAGACCAAATTCGTACGTACTGGCTGCTGATATCACCATAATGCTCCAGACCCAGGCCCTGTACCGAATCCATTGAATTGTCGTCAACAGAAAAGCAATGGTGTACAAGACAGCAGCAACACTGCCAGGGATGGGTTATAAAGATAAAATGGAGTTGTCATCTCGCTGCTCGCACGTTTAATGAGAGACATTGTAGATGTTTGATCCAGACACCCACGTCTGGAATGCTTGGAAGTGAAATCTTCTATCTCTTAATGGGTTCTCTTTGAAAGAACTGTAAGAGTTTTGTAGGAGAGCAACTAAGTCGAAGTGAGAGTTGGCAGACTTCAATTCAACAGAGAGGTTTCCCTTGTAAGCATTGGACCTCTTAACTGCATGGCGTTTGACTCTTAACTCTCGGCTCTCGGCGCCATAAACACTATGGACCGACCTCACTCCCGAATGTTTCGGGTAATCAGGCTCCCGTGAGAAGTGGGAGTTTTAGCGATTTACGTACAACTTGTAGTATGTTTGTACTATGTCTGTAGACTCATTGATGAAACGGATACCCAATTAGGAAAGGACGATGCCAAGCACCTGCCAAAGTGGAGAGTAAGCCCTGATTCTCAAGAACTCTGTGATCTAACGTAGATGTCTGATCTAGATACGTGAGATTGGAGTTAGGTCACTTTGCAATAGGGAGCTCTGCTAAGTGCTAGACCTTTCAACTGTTGTATAGCGCTCACTCGTTTTACTCTCAATTCTCGATAGAAACTATCGAGATACCTTAAGACCTCTTGGTGCTCACTTTATCCAGGCGCAAAAACGATGAGAAATATAGAAAATCTACCAAAAACGTAGCTGTTGATGCAATAAAAAGGGTACACTCGCACAGAGATTGTTATGTTATTGCAACGGCAATTGACTTTTGGTAGAGCTGGTTTCTGCGAAGTAACATAGCAGGCAACCGACCTCAGCAGCTTTTTGCTCTCAAAAAACACAGCTCGTATATGGATGATAGCCGTTAGGATTAGGGCGAAAAAAACAGACTAGACTCAAACTATATCACTGGAAACTGTCCTGGGGGCAATTAACGTTGACTGGTAGAAAATAACCCTGGTTATATATAGAAAAGTGCTCTGTACGGAGTATGGTTTATGCTTTTAACCGCTTTCGTATACTATAGAGTGAGAAGCCCGCTATGTCTTTCTATAGCTAATGGGTATCCTTCGAGCTATAACACCGAGAAGAATAAATTTCTTTATCAGAAAACTGAAAATATACGTGGAAAGAACATCCAAAAAGACTCCGAAGTGCTATCTTACAAGAAACAATTCATCCCCTATAAATATCATCTTGAGCCGGATAAATCAAACTGTTAAACTCCCACCTCGTTGAGGATAGGGGGCCGCATCCGAGCCGACCCCGCATGATGAATGTATTACTCGGAAAATCTTCGGTGTTTCTTGTCAAGCAGACACCCCGAGTTTTCTATGGCGAATGTAAATTCACTTCCAACGTCAACTATTTGATCAACGGGTACCTGAGCTCATACCCCCAAACATATACAGATGGAACACACAACATACAGCGGTTAATTTTTTTTTTTTTTTTTTAGCAAAACAAGCCGTCCGAAAATCCAGTCATCCAAGCTAGGCCATAACTGAAACACAAGTTGTTTTAACTAGATTAAGAATAAAGTAAATAGATCTCGAATTTATCTACTTTGTATTCCACGTAGTTTGATCTAACTGCAGAAATAACAATCTTTCATTAATATTAGTTGACTTCAGTTTTGTTCTTGTTTATTCCTTTCTTTTGCCATATTTGTATTCATAAATGTTGCCCTTCTCTTTGCAATGGTCCCCTTTCTTTCTTTCGTTATCCCATTTCTCCCCCTTGTAGCAAGTTTTGTGCACCCCGGCCTCCTCGTCTCCGATAGCGATATCTCTCGCACCCAGAAAAAGATCAAGGCCAACCAGGATCCATGGACTACCTCTTGGAATACCCTGACCAGTCTCTCATTCTCTGACGCCAGCTACATTCCTTCCCCAGTCAGCGTTGTCTATCGGGGTACCTGGGATAGCCATGCCGCGAACGCAGAGCTCCTCTGGCATGACGTTGCGGCAGCATTCAATCTAGGCCTACGCTGGAAAATATCCCGAAACACAAGCTTCGCCGATGCCGCTAGCAATATTCTACATTCATGGGCAACCACTCTCACTGCAATCGACGGTGGCGACGACAAGTACCTCACAGCTGGCCTGCAGGGATACGAACTCGCCAACGCAGCCGAACTCCTTCGCGACTACCAGCCCTTCGTGGACGATGTTCTCCCTGCTGTTGTGGAAATGGCCAATACTATCTTTATCCCGATGCACTACAGATGGCTGAACCATGAAGAGCCGTCCGAGCATAATGTTCTTCATTTCTTCGCGAACTGGGAATTGTGCAATGTCGCTTCGGCGATGGCTATGGGGGTCCTAACCGAAAACCAAACAGTGTGGGATTTCGCCGTGGATTACTTCAAGTCCGGGGATGGAACGGGCGCGATCAACAATGCTATCGTCAACATCGTTGAAGAGCCTGGTACAGGGGCTTTACTCGGCCAAGGCCAAGAATCCGGTCGTGATCAGGGCCATTCAGCATTAGACATACAACTTCTCGGCGTGATTGGGCAGCAGGCCTGGAACCAAGGAGAGGATTTGTTTGCCTATAATGATAGCCGGATTCTCCGTGGGTAAGTGCCATCCAATTATCTTTCGCATTATCAATTACTCATGTATCGCCCTAGGACGGAGTATTTCGCGCGATACAACCTTGGAAATGACGTTCCCTTCGTCGACTACACGAATGGCATAGTGAGCCACACAGAGATCAGTAGTGCCTCTCGTGGAGCCATTAGACCTACCTGGGAGCTTCTCTACAGCCATTATGTCATGACGAAGCGAGTAGACGCACCTTGGACCACCCTGTACCTCAACAACTCTCTTGAGTATTACGGTGGCGCGGAGGGCGGTGCGGGTTCCTGGGGAGAAGGATCTGGCCATTACGATGGTTTGGGCTGGGGATCATTGCTCTATCACATGGATGAGTCTGATGTGGTAGCTGCAGTCTCCTCCAAATCTACTTTACCTACGGCGAGTTCTACACCATGGGCGTCTACTACATTGGGCTGGGCTCCTAGCGCAACGACCGCGACTTCTAGCGTATCTAGCCAAAGTGCGCTTGTTTCGCAATCAACCGCCACCAATTTTGCTGCCGTATCCACTGCTTCGGGTACCGAAACATTTGCATCATCAAGTATTATTCCTCCATCTTCTATGAGCAGTACAACTTCAGCCAGTATATCGACAACTTCACCCCCTACACCACTTGATATGTCACAGGAAGCTCATCACCACCATCATCATCATCATACTCATCATCACCATCACGTGGAGGGTCAGGCACTTGGTGCTTGCCATGTATAATACGTCTGCGTTTCGATGCTCCAAAGGGGCTTTTTCATCCGCTAACCACGTGCATTTCCTGGTTTAGCCAGTAGACACCTTATTTATTTATGTATTTAGTTTTCCACATATTTGCCAACTTAGTCCGTTAGTGTTGCATTTGTTGTACCAGCTTTCCCCACAACTTCGAGGGTCGAAGTCCCGTCTGGAGATGGAGAGCTTGTTTCGAGAATCACGCGCAACTAGCCGAGTGTGCATAAAAAGCATAAAAAATCCTAAAATCCTAAATGATTGAAATCCGATGTGTATGCATGTGTTGGACTAAAATGATGAAACAGATACCCCATTAGGAAAGGTCGATGCCAAGCATCTCAAGTGGAGCTTCAAAACCCCAGCTTATCGACTCATCTCCGATTCTCACGAAGTCTTTGCCTATTTAGAGTCGAATATGACACACCCCGCATCTACTCAGAGACGATGCCTTTTCACGGTCGTCCCAGTAAAGCTTGCTCCAGTTGTCGAGAAAGACGAATAAAGGCAAGTGGCGTGGCCCAACACCAGACTAATTATAGCCTGACATGGTCTAGTGTGATCGGCTTGAGCCCGTGTGTTCCCAATGCAGGAGAGCGGGCAAGCCATGTGGCGGTTATCGGGACGTGCCATTTTTTATGTTCCGTAACGAGAATGATAAGGCGGCTCGACGAAGTGCAGAAGCAAAAGCGAAGACCGAGGCCCGTCGAAAATTGGAGGATAGTGCAGCTCTAGAATCCGATATATCCACCCCCGGCTCGGGAGCCGATCGTTCACCGTCAGATGCACTAGTCTGCAGGAGCAGGGGCCAACTGATTCCGACTCCGAGAATTATTGCCCCGCTATCCATCCCATTGGAGGATCAGGGGTTGAGGTTCTTTGTTAACCGTTTTGTGACACGGATAGCAAACAGAACAGGTCGCTCTCTACATGAAGGTAATCTGCAGCCGTCTCCGCATCTTGGAACAGTTGCTCTCGATCAGTCGAGTCGAGATGCTGTTGTCTCGGTTGGCCTTGCTGCCTTGTCCAATGTCAATAATGACAGAGAATTGCGAATATTGTCTCGAGAGAAACATGCCATGGTCATCAAGGCCGTACGAGAAGTAGTGGAGAACCCCGCTCAGGCCAATCCTGACAGAACGTTTCACTTGATCGTAATGCTGAGTCTATACGAGGTACGCTCTTCAGGTTTAAGGCTTTTAATAATTGCAATAGCTGACCCGCGCAGATGGTCAGCTGTGCCCCAAGCCAACTCGACTCTTGGATAGTGCATATGGATGGTGCGGCTGCCTTACTTAAACAATCCACCTTTCGGCTATCGCTCAAGAACTTGAACCACCGAGCCCACTTACAATTCTACTTTGTTTCAATTGTCAGATATTTCTCCAAGAGGGTTGTCTCCCCAGATATACTGAACTGGTCTCCTGATCTCGTACCATCTGCTCCACCAGATATCTTACCGGGCGTCGATCTCGTTGACATACTGGTAAGATTTACGAAGTTCGATGCATATGTGCATCACCAAAAGCCCGACGCCAGAGCAGTAGTGGACTCAGCACTGTTATTTGAAGATGAACTCCGCGAGTGGGAAACCCACCTTCCATTAGACTGGTCATTTACTGTGAAAGAATCCAATACATGCGAATACACCTTCCGTGGCCAGTATCATGTCTACAAGGACATGTGGGTTACAAGAATTTTCAACCACTACCGCTGGGCACGACTACTGGTCAACGAGACCATCTTATCCCAGATTTCGAAGATGGCACGACCCACAGAAAATGATAAGATTCAACGGCAGCGAGCATTGCACACGATTGCTTGCATGGCAATTGAGATATGCGCCGGATCTGCAAGCCAGGAAGCTATCTTCGCGCAAGGAGTTGCCGAAGACCCATCACATACACCCCTGTTGAATGGTACCTTCATGCTGCTTTTCCCATTAGGAATTGCTGGAGGCACCGCAGGTACCCCCGATGAAGTTCACGATTGGGTTGTTGAAGCCCTTGAGCGAATAGGATGTACCGTGGGGATCCGGCGAGCTTTGGAAATGATACCTCAACTGAAGAAATCAGTCGGGAAGTGGAAACTAGAACAGAAGCTGTGGAATAGCATATATGGGTATAAATAGAAGTCGAATATTGTGCAAAGAGCGCACTGCCATATTAGCTCTCTTAAATGATGTGATAATACCACCTATCAACGCTTGAAAAATGATCAAGCTTCACTTTCTAGTCCGACTATCTTAAGGGAATCCTTCCAGAGACGATTCTCTTCCTCGGGATTATACGTCTGTTTCACCCATCCAGCGCCAAAGATTTGGCTATCGTCCTGACCACGATCCGCTTCCTTGCAGTCCTCAAGATACTTGCCACCCTTTGCCTCCCACTCCTTGCCCACAGCTGCCCACACTGTCGTAGCCGCGCCCTGCTGGGAAGACTTCAAAATTTTCAGAACGTAGGGGTTTGTCAAGAGACCCTCCAAGGACTCTGGAGGCATATTGCGGGATATATTAGTGTTGATAGCGCCGGGGTGGAGACTAGTAGCATGTAGTCCCTGGGCACCATATAACCGCTCGATGGTGTTGGCCGAATATACCGCTGCTAGCTTAGAATTCTCATATGCCGTTTTATGGTCATATTCGCCCTTTTCGAAGTTGTAGTTGTCGCTATTTGGGAGGGTGCTAGCTCGGTGGGCAGATGAAGCCACGATCACGACTCGCGAATTAAGGTCTGGATAATGCATAGGACTAGGGGGTATAGAAATTCGTGACTTTTGTCTTTAAGCTGCTGATCTTTTGATTAGACTGTCAACCCCGATAGGTTCTCGACTCTCTCGTCCCCAATGACAGGACAAATGAGTAAATTTGCCCTGTTGTGTCAAGCTGCAAGGCTATTAGGCCAAGTTCTCTATCACCTCTCAACCGACTTCACTAGCGAAGATGATATTTGGATACAGCTCGATCGTACCCTACAGTCAATGCTAGCCGCTGCATTGAATATTAACTGCCCGGACTATGATCAAATCACTTTCGTGTATAGGTTAGTACCACAATCATCACCCTTATCTTATATAGGCTTTTATCTTAAATATTGAACTTAGTGCCCTAGTCGCCCTCTATACACCCTGGCTATCATCCGATGTAGTTCAAGAAAATCGACAACCATCGTTTACAACGAGCGAAGATTATCCTTTAACAGATTACGGAGCGTATTAATGCAAATCTGATCGAGCGACAATGCTTCTTAGGTCGGGATCCAGAGGATATGTCCCCGTGGGGTCTGTATTTTGCCTATCGCATCTGTAGGGCCCATATGCGGACCAGCAGCAAAGTACCGCATGGCCTTGAGGTGGTGAGGAAGCGGCGCGAGGGTTTCGTGGATATTGATGTGCGGTGGAATGTTGCGGGTGTTTATTTGCAGCGAGGCCCAGGAGGCTATCAATTTGGGGGTATGAGTTTGATATGATCCTACCCGGAGTAGTTTGAATGGGTGTGTTTTTGGGTTTTACATATTGTATATTAAGTTTTACTTCATATGTTCAATGGTGTGACTGTCTAGATAAGACGGACATGTGAAATACATTCGTCATCGACGAAGGGATCATACTGTCAATATAAATTTTAAGTCACCTAACAGAAACTTCTACAAGCCTGTCTAGCTAATAATTCATAGGAAGTCATAGAGACATCAGCCCTACCGCGACTAGGGCGGATATCCTACCCGCCTATTCTGCCCGTACAGGATGAGTGGATTGCGGGCTATTACTACTAGTACGACCAGAGTCATTTGGATAAATGTACATGACCAAGGCGTGTGCGATAATTCCATAGAGCCAGGTACTCTACAAGGCCCCCTTTTGATCGAAGTGACATTGAAGTGAGACCAAACTGAACTCTCCCAGTCTTGGATTTTTAGGCTATATGGAGAGCCTAATCATTTTATATAAACGGTCCTGAATCAGAGTCGTCCAAAATACGTGGGAAAAAGTGGGAGCCATATAGGTTTTTTCTTTAGGAACTCTCTCATTGAGATATTAAATCTTTGATGGGCTGTAGTGACGGGCCATAGATCCAGATTAGGTAATACTGATGCGCGCCTGGACCGGGGCGCGTATTCGCGTCTCTCTTTAGACTTCATTGTCTGGTTTGACATTCAAACTCCACATATCCTAACAAAATGGCGAGCGAAGCTGGATGTAAGTTCATAGTCTCTCGATATATCCATGCTATAGTCTGATTAATATTCGCTTTAGGGTCTTGCGACGCCAACGATGCGGTCCATGTTACCGTCATTCAACCGGGCGAGAAGAAGCCGAAAACACTTTCGACCTTTCACCCCCAATTCACCTATCCTATCTTTGGCGACGATGAGCAAATCTTCGGTTACAGAGGCTTGATTATTCGTTTGCGGTTTGCGGCTCATGATTTGCGCCCCCATGTTCACATTTCCTACGATGAGAAGTTCAAGTCTGTCGGTGACACAGCTGCTGTCGATCTCCTTGATACTTTGAAACCTTTTGTCCAGCAAGGTGAGTTTAAGCTTTGCGACAATACATGTGATATAAGCTAACCACGATTTTGCACAGAGGCGTTCGCCGATCTCCAAGACTATGAGAAAGCTGTTCAAAACGACCCAGACGCGAAAGATTTCAAGCCTCCGGGCGACTTTGTCATCGCCTACGAGGTTGATGGCAGAAAATATGAGGTCTGGGCTGGATCGCTTGCAGACCCGGAAGTGCGGAAAATTCTGGATCGCATGCAGGTTCTCGTCTCCCTCTTCATAGAAGCTGGAACTCCCCTAGAGACAGATGACCCGGAGTGGACGCTCGACCGTTGGAGGGTATATTTCGTGTATGTTCTTTTTCTTGCTGTGCCCGTAACGTGAGACTAAACCAATCTACAGATATGAAAAGGTGAATCCTCCAACAGCAACAGCATCATCATATTCGATTGTCGGGTATGCCACAACATACCGCTATTGGTATTACCAGCGGGATCAATCACAAATTCCCACAGTCAAAAACGACGAGTTCCCGCCACAAGAAGTCAAAATTTCCGAGCTTCCTGCACGGATCCGCATTGCCCAGTTCCTTATTCTCCCTTCACACCACCGCGCCGGCCACGGCACACACCTATATACCACAATCCACGCGGCATGCATCGCAGATCCAACCATTTTAGAATTGACCATCGAAGACCCCAATGAACAATTCGACGCGCTGCGGGACACGGCCGATTATTGTCTGCTGCGGCCGGAGTTCCTGAAGCACAACGTGAATCTCAACCCCGACCCCCTCGGAGCGTATTCTCAAAAGAAACGTCCTCGCAATGTGCCCACTTCCGCCCTCATTCCCACAAAACTTCTTCACGACATCCGCAAATCGTTCAAGATCGAATCTACGCAGTTCGCACATATTCTGGAGATGTACCTTCTCGGCCAGATTCCCCAAAGCCACCGCCTGGCCGGCGGCACAAACCTCGCTCGACTGTTGATCAAGAAGTTCAAGGCCGAAAATGAGGATGACCGACGCTACTACTGGTGGCGTATGCTAACCAAGCAACGTCTCTATAAAAAACACAAAGAACTTTTGAACGAACTGGAGCTTCTAGACCGAGTGGAGAAACTTGATGCCACGGTCCAAAATGTGGAGGAAGGCTACGAGATCACATTGGATGCGCTCGAGGGCCGCTTGCCAGAAGACGAATCGGATGAAGCGGCAGAAGCAAACGACCAGGCCACTAAGGCTCCTACCGGTAACCGAGACCGGCGTGTCAAACGCAAGCTCACGGTCATGGAGGACGATGATGACGAGGAGGAGGACGGGACTGAGCTAGCTAAGCGACCAAAGGTTTAAAAGCCCTGCGGTGGTCAGCTCTTTTATGTACTATGTAATGCACACGAGCATGTTATTTTCGAAGCACTCGACAAGATTCTTATACACCTTTCTCCAATACATGTGTACTTGAGAAAGCTCGAAAGCTCAATTCTAGTCGATACCCACTAATTTATGTCACCCAAAGCTGTTATACTAGTAGAACCGTGAAGATTTAACATGTTGAATAGTAGATGTAAATGAAGAATATTAAAAAAAAAACCCTTTTGAGAGTTCCTTACATATCGCACCCAAGCCACATTGGGGCTCGGCACTTCCCTTTTTCCGGGCTTCCTCGTCGCATCTCTTGGAGCTTGGATCCATTGATTGCTACACTCAACATCCCCAGATAAATCAACAGGTCACTTCGTTTGGATTTAATTCCGCTATTCAATCCATAGGTCACAGACTTTGGATCTACGCAGCAATCCGCGCTCTTTCAACTCTGTGCGCTAACTGACTCTCCCACCTCAACCCACCTCGTCGAGCGCATTCCAAAATGGTAAGCTCCAGCTTTACCCAAACGCGCTTTCCGAAACCTATAATAATTGAATTTCTGATTAGCTGCCTCTCGGTCTCCTCACGGCCGCACAGGGCCACCCCATGTTGGTGGAACTCAAGAACGGCGAAACTCTGAACGGCCACTTGGTTACGTGCGATAACTTCATGAACCTGATTTTGCGCGAGGTAGTGCAGACGAGCCCCGAAGGCGACCGCTTCTTCAGATTACCCGAAGTTTACATCCGTGGCAACAACGTAAGCCCTCTGATGAGCAATCAACTCAGAGCCCCGCTCTTTGGGCTATATGCTAACAACCCACCAGATCAAATACCTACGAGTTCCCGAAGAGATTGTCGAAATTGTCAAAGAGCAGCAACAAAACCAACCACAAGGCCGTCGCGGCGGGCGAGACGGTGATCGTGGCCGCGGTCGTGGTCGGGGTGGTGGTGGCGGCCGGGGTGGACGTGGTCGAGGACGAGGCGGCCCCAATTAGACATAAGCTTGTTCTGCATCAATGATTTTAAGAAGACGGCAAACGAGATACCCCCGGAGGAGACGGTGGTTAGGTCGCTCGGAAGGTCCGGTGGAACGGTTTGATCGAGCATGGCCGTGGCGTATCTGGCTCTGTATTTTCACGGCATCTGGGTCACTTGGTCGATTTACAACTACCTCTAAATATTATACTCCAAAAACCCAAACCAGACTTACATATTTCTCTGTAAACCCCATGCAATTCAAGCAGCGAATATTCGGAGATGTCACGTGATATCAAACTCCAATCAAATCCGCGGAGGCTAAGCTTCCGGTCAGTTAGCCACAAGCGGATATGTCGCGGCGGGCATTGGTCCTCGATGGGCTATGGTACTCTCTGTGTCCATCATTTACAGTTCTGAGCCTCAGTCGATCAACATCCTTCCCCAAATCCAAGGGACAAAACCCCAGACTATATCCACTACCTCCGATTTCTAGCCCAAGCTCGGGTTCGCGCCGATGCTACAACACCTCAGGCGGCGATAGTTTCAAGTTCCCATATAATGCAGCACATCATAATGATCGGGGTGAACCACGAGAACCACGTGAGAATGAATACCGTGACGTTCGCCTGTCTGCAGATCCAACATACGCCAGTCCACCCACACGACGAAAAGGCCCGCTATACACACGAACGCATAAGGTGCAAGACGACCTCCTAGGAAAAACGAATGAAGGACTAGAATCCCGATTGCAATATGCAATGGACAACAAGCCGAACATTCGACACATAACGCAGATCCTGCGACTGCTCATTCGGGACCGTCATGTCCAGCCGAATGCTCGCCACTACAAGGCGCTGATCCTTGCAAATACCGATAATGAGAGGGGCTCGCCGC